GGAAAGTAAAACCCGATCCCAAAGCACATGTGTCCTGTTTTTCACTCCTGAGTGATAAACCTTGGTGGAGCGGAAGAAGTACAAATGCTACGGATGGGAGAATGGTGATGACCCCTAATAGGAGGTTTAAAGTTGACGTCTACCTTCGGCATCTATCCCAGCCCCGTGTTCTGCATGTAAGCTATTGATAACTGAAGCGACACTAGCCGTGAACCATCTGGAAGTTTCGTTACATACATTCCCTACCGTGCCCCATGGACCTGTTTTTAATCCTTTCCTCCCTAACTCAAATCTACTTTTAGGCCAGTGTTCCTACATCCATCTATGGACACGCATGATGGCCAGCATAATTCCCCTTCCTGAATCAAGTTCCTAAACCAGACGAAACTCCAGCTCCAGTTAAGCTGTTGAGAGGGCTCAGTGGCGTTGAGGTCAAGTATCTCCTCAATTGCATGCTAATTTTATGACTGGCGAGGTCGGATTGCGGGTGTTTCTTTACAGCACTGACTACGTAGTAATGGCCGACGCGGGATGTTGACCTGCAGGAGCCCCGGGGACGACGCTCAAAAGAGGAGGGAGGCTGTGTAATACGATAATGGTTTATCCCTCGGTATTGGTGAGGCGCCACTTTTGGGCTTTTGAATTAGCCCCCTTGTATCTCGCTGGGTGGGCTGGCCTTTCGGGCCATGCTAATAGCCCAGACACCTTCTCTGCGCTGAATACATATTCTGCCCGAGTATTTTGTCTTCTTTCGTCTTCAGGGAAGTATCGAGACGCTACATTAATCTGTCTCACACCCAATGTTCCTACAAACGATTAGTTTGAAGATACCAAAGGTGTTTTGTAAAAATGTGACGTTGCAGCTAAAAATGATTAATTTGAAAAGAAGGATTGCAAAATAACTAGTGCAAATTGAGCGGAGAAGTGGGGAAAAAGTAAGTGGCATCAAGTTCGCACATAAGCTGCAAAAGGAGGAAATAAAATTTGTGTTATGAGGGTGTGTTTGTTTTAATCGTCAGGGTCTGCTTATAGTAGGTAACAAAAAAGGGTCTCCATTGCTTTTTTGCAACTTGAAGGTAGTTGGGAAGTGTTTAGAGCCCCTTGAGATTCTCATACATACGTAATGAAGGCGATCCGAGCTTGCCTACTTTACTTTTAAGTATGAAGGGAAGATCCTCGTTGAACCTGTTTAGCACTTAAAGATGCTATTTTGAGTCCAAGTGAAAGTATTAAATATGAACTGCTTATTTGCGGAGGAGTAAACAACTTTTATGACTGAGGTTCAACTTCTCAATGCAGCTTGACGAGGCAGAAGAATAAAAAAACCTTCCACTTCTTCAAAAGCTACCAAGATGTGCACCAGTGAATCTGTCAGAGGTTAGGCCAACAATATAATCCGAGGCCACGCACATTCTACGCACCTAAGTGGGATGGATGAAGGGGAGAGAGGGAAACCGCCTCACCCTCATCCGCGTCCCTATCTTTAGCCTCCGTATTCCCCTCAAAATAATAATTAGAACCACTTCTCGGCACTAGACAATTAAATGGGTAGGGCAAGTTAAGATATTGCAGTGAGGCAACTGATGCTCAGTTCTCCCTTGACTCCCAGAGGCAAAACGTCTTATAGGAACGGAGTTTTTATTAAAAAATGTGACAAATTGCAATGTTGATTTTAAAATTGCACGAGCTTATTAAGGTACGCAATTCACTTGTCCAGAAAATTAAAGCAAGCCAGCACAGATTGGATGGCTGTCACCGCCTGACAGTTCCACATCCGAATGAAATGCGAATGCATATTGTACTACTTGACAGTGAGAAGTATGATAAAGCCCCACTGTTACCTGCTTTCTGGTTCGTAATTACTGGCACAAATCGCTAGAAAATGTCTTTACTCAGAGGCATGAAAAATAAACGACAATACCAGACCAGACTGGCCATGCCTCTCCTCCCAGGTAGCCAATCCGCATTGCTGCCTAGAGCAGTCTCGCGTGACAGACCCATTGCCCCACGTAGCATTTAAGCTCCCTCATTTCAGATTAGGATTTTTCAGTCCTCATTAATCATGTAATTCAGTGGGAGTGGGAAATGTGATTATTCAGGAGTGGGGACTCAAGCACAATTCACCTACTTTGGATGTAGACGATGTCAGCTATTTCCGGCGGTCGTTGGCTTGGATGTGGAGTCCAGCTGGCTGTCATTTAGTGCCAAGGTGGCTTCAAATTGTGAACACAGGGTGCTGATACTGCTTGCTGCGCCGTCGGCTGTAGCATCTGAGTCGATGAAAGACCACTGACTGCTGTCCTCAGTTGTACGTGGAAGTGGTACTGTGTTTGAGGCAGCCTTTGAATTACTGCTAGTGGCACTATCCAAAGATCGCGGTTTCACTGCCAGCACAGGAGATGGTCGAAGAGGAGGATTGGAGTTGTGACCTCCAGATCCAGCTAGCAATGGAGCTTGAAGTTGTTCACATAATCGCTTAAACCGCCGTGTTGGACCTTTAAAAGAGACGTTACGGCTTTGTATTCCTTCATATCTGCCATATAACAAGAGAATATTATAAATTTTGGTGTATTTTAGTAATATCTACCCAGTTGCGCAAATGAAGCCTGAATGTGAATACCAGTAGAGCTCACTGGGGTCAGGAAATCTTCAACACAGAAAGAACAGTCTGCACTATCCTAAATGGCAAACTTATGTACTTGTAAGTGATTATCTTCACAAAAAGATTTGGCTTTAGGGCCGCCGAGGTTGAAGTTATCTCTGACAAGCATACGACTGTTAAAAATACCGTACTGCCGAGTGGCTAGGAGTAGACAACCGTGAGTTCTTTTGGTTGGAGATCTCCTTAATCGTTACACGGTGCTTCATGGAAGCATCCATGCATCCAGCAATCGTGGGTTATTGCAGTCAAATTGTATAAAATACTGTGTTACAGCAATATTTCCTTTCATTGTATGCCAATCTACACAGGCTCTACAGTCGTCGCACTTTTCGACCACTGTCTAGACGCCATGGGGTTCCATTAATGTCAGCTGTTCTGTTGGAGTGACGTGATTGCGGATGACGCGGTGCGCTACTTTGGTGGTAATGATAAACGAATCTTACTGGAATGGAATCGAATCGGAAAGGATGAATCCTTGCGGACATCAAACAGAGGGCTTATTAAATCCGCCTCCACTTTCAGTTACTATGTGAAGATATTTGAAAGAGTAGATCCAATAGCTTTGATTTTGGGCGACGCACTCGGCACTAGACATCCCTCCACCTAGATCAGTAGGAGAGGCAATAAAATCTGCTGGAGGTGTCTACAACTTTTCAAAATTTTGCCCCTGAACTGAAGGCTAAATTTTATGGGACACTTTGTTGTGATGGCTAAGACAGACGAGTGACTACGGGGACATCGAGTACGAGGGGGTTTGTGAAGCAGAACAGTGTCCGATTTGATGGCTTGTTAACTACACTGGTGAGTGACATGGCATCCCGTCCGTATGATTCCCATCGCTAGCCTATCAGGGCTACTAAACATCATACCAGAGAGAAGTTGAAAGCTGACGGCGTAAAGTTCACGATCACTGGTACCGTCAAGTGCGCCGCCATTATTAGCGGCTGCTTGACCGGTGGAGGCGCGGACAATGTCGATCTGCATTTTTACAGGTCGTGCCAAGAGACTGGACCCACTGCCGGCTCGATGGTATTCAGCCCGGAAACTTGTTGGAGAGAGGATAGTGTGCACTACGCCTGGAGTTGAGAGCAAGACCTAAAAAAATGGAAGGATTTGAATAATTTGCTATCAATAGAAAGCTTCCGCTTTTAGAGTGTCTAATTAGAAACCTTTTTTATCCTTCTTATACCTTCAAAAGGTGATAAACTCTGGACAGCATCAACTAACATGACTGCAAAACATCGTGCCTCTGTTTTACCCATCAATGTGTTGGACATTTAACCCACATGTTTGCAGTTAAACGAGAAATTTTACGGATTTTGTTTTTATTTTCCCTAGTCATTAACAGACAGCGTACTTTTGCCAAAGCAGTGAATTATTGCATTTTGGTAGTAAAACTTCGGCTCTGAAATGTCAACTTGACAAGCGACACGGCGCTTTTCATATTCTAGGTCTTGAATTCAAGCTGCAAATTTTAAAAGGGTAAATAAATTATCGCTTATGAAACCCAAGGTGAGGACGAGAGGGTCAACTTTTAAGCCTTCAATGTGTGGCCCCAAGGAGGGGGAGAGAAGGGGGGGTTGCTATGGCCGTCATGTGTACAGCGAGTCGTGACAATGGCAGCCGAATCATTCGACTCGTTTGTCTGCAGCCTGGTGGATGTCACCACGTCTGCTATCGATTAGTGGTGTCAAATGAATGTCACTCCGTGGAGATGTTCTTCAGTGACTACCGAAATTTTGAAGCTCCATTCTACCGTTTCTGTCTTAGCACCGTAACAAAGCACCTGAGGGCGGATAGCCTGCCTGGCGGTGGATAGAATTCTAGGAAGGCTATTTTTTGACAACTGTCACAGCGATTGTTTCTAAACCAACTTCCTATTTATAGAGAAACGGTCACATCTACAGCTAAATTTAACTACAAAGATGGGAAAAAATTGGATCACAGTTCATTTTTTTCGCAGCAAACATCGAGCTACAAATCTAAAGTTATCTGCTTAAATAAGGTGAAAATGAACTTCAAGGCAAATTTACAATTCCTTAACTCTTTCACTTCCGCTCCCTGGGGAGAATGAATGACTCGTATCATCAGATAGACGCGTTCTCACCATTCTCTGCTCTGTAAGCAACACGAAAATCCCTTTTTATGGCCTAATAACGACCAAGAATTTTTTTTTTTGGATATTTTAGCTGTGACTCAGTAGGCCGACGATAGAGAAACAAAATTGTAGGGTTATCTTTTGGCAGAAGTGAATAAAATCCAATCCAGGTGAATAGTGGACAATTGGAAATGTAGGGTCCGATGTGGGTAAGGGGAGCCACCGAAGCCACCAAAACAAACTTTTCACGGTCTTAACCTGCCCTAGTTACCACTGTATATTTTGATAAGGCACCTGATTTGCGCCCATTTAAAAAAGGTGGTAAAAAAAGGACTTTATAAATAGGACGTCAGATTGTGTGAAGAGGATTCACCCTTGGAGGTCTCCACTATGAATTTTTAATGCTTGACATTAGCCGAAAAGGAGGAGGTAAGTGTGGTGGAGTGACACTAGTTAGGGATATTTTGGTCTAGGCAGACTTTTGCTGTCCCTACAGGTTAAACCAACTTTGTGATGGCGCGTGGCCTTTCCATCACCGCCTAGGCCCTCCCACTCCCTCTATGCGGTACTGGTAAATAACTTTTTTTTTCCATTGCCTGCTTTCTTACCACCTCAGTAAGTGAACTAGAAGCAGAAAACGAGGAAAAATATTGCTTGGATGTCATAAATTTCATCGAAGTAGACTACACGAGTTAACTTCTAGAAAAAGTACTTTTATTTCATGTCATAAAGAGTACAACCAACTAAAGAAAATTTAGATTGTGCTCAGAAAAATGTCTTTTTTAAGATCAACTGATTATAGAGTCCCGTGTGTTGGGGAGAAATGGATTAGCTTTATCTTTGATGAACTTTAAAAGTCCTAGTCAAGCCTTCTAGATCGACAAACAAATATATGGATACAAAAAAAGATATCAAAATTTTTGTGGTGTGTTTGGTAGCAACTCGCTACAGTGGCTTGGTGCAACTTGTGGCAAGTAGAGAGCTAGATCAAAAAAGCGAGACACCGTCTCTGTCTTGTCTAAAATGCCGGGATTGACATGCCATGACCTTGCTTTCGGAGTTGGCAATTGGATGAGAAACACTTTAATGACACCTACATCAACGTGCAAGTCGGAGACACGGTCCC